GGTTATCAAAATTATATAATATTAAATTATTGTCAGCTGTATGTATATTTAATTACGCCTTACAAAATTACAGCATAGAGATGCAGGCGCGGACGGTGGCGACCAGTCTCTAATCTCGTTCGGCTCCTGCTTGGAGGAGTTCGGCGTTAGGCCGTTTATTGAGTGCCGCGGCTTTGGCTTTTGCAACTATTTCGCCACATCGTACTGGCTGATAACCATTCACGACGACAACATGTTCCGCAACAGAGTAATTTCTTTATTTTAAGTATCAAAAGAATTTAAACCAGATATAGGAAATGATGTAGAGAAAAACTTCAGTAATATATTATATTTTCTTTCTTTTTCTACATTATAAGCAAAATTAAAAGAGCAGTACAAGTTAATTTATGTTATAACTCATTTTCATTCATTATAATCACTAGACAACTTATAATACAATACAGTACATAAGTTACATTCTATCATATGGCTGTCTTCTAAAAAATATAAAGAAAAAGTGCTCATGTAACATATCAATGTGTAACATGTTATATATATATATATATATATATATATATATATATATATATACTTACAAACTACAGTATCATGAATCGCATAAACTTAATGTTAGATCCTAGAATTACTTTACAGATGTGAGTTTTGATAAGCCCTCCACTAGGCTAACATAAGCTGTATACTCGTAGCATGTGCTCAAATCGATCAGTTTTTCTGCAAACTCATTTGAAATCCCTTTCTCCTCGAGGTAGTTCATCAGTAGGTCGTACAGATACTGTAAAATAAATAGTGCTTTATTTAATATAATAAAGAAGCTTAATTAACACTTATATGGGATTGTCTTGTTTGTGCCTATGACTAGTTATAGAAATATTAACTATTAAAGAAAAAAGAGAATTAAGAAAACATATTAGTAACAATTAAAGATTTAAAATATGTCACAATCTTAATTCAACGCACACATGAAAGAAGATCATGAATTAGCTTTATAAGACTGTTTATAATTTCCCAAAGATCAATAATCAAAGTAACGATTAATTTTTTAAAACTTTTAAGTATCAAAGCGATATTCTAGAAAAGCAAAGTACCGGTTATTAAGTTTCTGAAGATTAACGATATTTATCACTATATAAAATTAATTAATAACGTTTTTAATTATTAATTATATTAATTTTTGTTAAATAATTATCATGTTAGAAAAAAATAGAGATAGGATATAAATATTTACACCATCGATGATCTCACCAGCTACAGAGTATACCTTATCGCTGTGTTCTCCTTCATACAGCATGATTTCATTGATGCCAAATATGTCATCTGCAAAAAAGAAAGTTAAATTACAATTTGAAAAAACATTAAAGAAACAAATAATATAAACTAATAATACAACAAATGAAATCGCATATCGATTTTATCTGTAGCATTTAATTATAATATACGAAAGAGTGATCTCACAATACCAAGAAATAATTATCAAGATAAAATTAAGAGGTCTTTTTGTATTCAATATTTTAAAAGAGAAGATATAACAAGTGTACATACTATAATTATCATCTGCACCCGATGCACCAGGTTGATTATTAAAAGAACACGTGAGACCTAGAGTCTGATTACCCCTCACTATATCTATATACTGTAAAAGTCGGTTTGCTCTTCATTTCGCCAATTTCTACATTATCACTAATAGGATTCGTTTCCTCTTTGGCATCCACATCCACTGATGTATAGTTCACGTTAAACGAAATATGAATACTAGAAAAAAATAGCATAGATTTAATATATCAAAAATGTACGGAATAATCCATAAGTCGATATGGCAAAACTTTCTATATCTTATAAACAATATATCTTATAATCTTACAATATATATCTACGTATCTGTATAATTTCCACCAAATCCTTTCTCCGAAATCATTAAAAGCTTTTCAACGTTAAATATAAATACTAACCTTTTCACGATAAACATTTTCGGAGTATGTTGTCATGTCGAGTCATGTAGAATTTTCACACTACTGCCAATAATGTCTGTTCTTTTTCGCTACACTTCTGAACTAGTGCAATAAGTTCACTTGCTGTACTAGTGCAGAAGTGCAGCAAAAAAAGAACATTAATACAAAGATTTATTTAAATTACAAGAAAACCGACTTTTCTAAATAAAATTTTCAATCAAGATGTCATCCCCAAATGATTTCCAATCGATTCCATTTATAATAAACATTAAACATAGTTGCTATCTGCTAACTTGACGCTTGATAAATTTTGTTAATAACAAAAAAACTATTCTTTCCCAAATGTTTAAACAATTTTCCCAAACTTCCCCAAATGATTCCCAAATTATATGAACAATAATAATCCAAAAATATTCAATTTGTCTGCTAACTCTACGGCGGTCGACTCGGGTCGCATCATGGACGTGGAATACATACATACATATCTATTATGTATTTCACGTCAATGATGCTAGAGTCCTGTATACATGATGCGACCCGAGTCAGTTGAGTCGCAAATCGAAAACGCCACGGACTCTACTTATACTGTGACGTGATGTTTGTGTGTAATATTAATTTAAGTTAGCACGTCTCTTCTGCTTGTTTTTATGGTTGTATCATGCTATATTTTCTGCACTTAAAATGAAATAATGATATATTAATTAGATGTTGAAGAAAAAAGAGAAAAAATGAGAAGTGCTAAAAGTTCAGTTATAAAGAACAAATGTTTCTCTGATGTACGGAGTCTGTCGAATTGAGTTATCTCAATATAGTATATGTTTTATAGTTTTATGTATGTATGTATATATGTAAGCAGAAAGTACTCATTTAGTGATTGCATTATTATCTGCTATCATTTGTTATAAACAACAATGGCGTGGTCAAACTATCAACGTACTTTAGCTATACTTCAAATAGTTACAGGCTCGTTTAATACTTTATCAGTTAAGTAAGTATTTTATATATGTACGCAAATTAATTATATATATACATGTATACGTATATATATATACGTATATATAGCATAAAGAATAAAATCACAGTACAGAAGAAAAATCAATCAATCAATAATCAAGTTTTACTGATGTTAGAATTTGACTTTAAATTTATTTAGATATGCAGATCGACAAGTTGTACTTGGTGAAGATGAACAGCTCAGACATTTTAATCATCCCTTTATGCAATCGTTATTTATGTTTTTTGGAGAAGCTCTTTGTTTTTTAGCGTTTAAAATTTTTTATTATTATTATAATCGGCGAGGCGTAAGTATTCATGATTTTTGTTTTCTGAATAAATTAAATTGTATTATATACTATATTAATTTGTTCACAGGATGGCTCCATAGATAATAATGTGCTCATTAAGGGTACAAGGGTTTTTAATCCTTTCATTTTACTAGTACCTGCATTATGTGATATGTTTGCAACATCCATAATGTATATTGGTCTGAACATGACTTACGCAAGTAGCTTCCAAATGTTGCGCGGATCAGTAATTATTTTTACAGGAATGCTTTCTATTGGGTTTCTTAATAGAAAATTGGGAGTAAGAGAATGGATAGGCATTGGTTTTGTCATAACAGGTTTAGCATTTGTTGGCGTTAGTGATATATTAACATTGGAAAACAGTGATATTAGTGCAAATTCTGTAATCACTGGAGACTTACTTATTATATTTGCTCAGGTACATTTTTTATTATTATTAATTTATCACTATTATATAAATCTAACATATAAAATTTAGTAATTATAATTATGATTTAATTATACTTACATACCCAGATAGCCAAATGTTGTGAGTTTGCTGCCATGTTGCTAACAAGCAGCTTGTCGTTGGTAATGCAACTAATTTTGATAAATTTGGGACAAGGTGAGACAGCATTATGTTTGTCGGATTGAACTCATATGAATTATATTTCTATTAACAGCAAATTGATTGCAACGTGACAGCATCAATTTGTGAGGGATTTGTGACAATTTAATATTGTCAACACTTCGTTAGCAACGAGATACAATTAAAAAACTTCATAGCTTGACGACATTATATATTATAACGGATGGAAATCATTATATATGTGTTGTTGCCGTCACGTTTGCATCATGATGCTCAAGATGGAACGATGAATCATTCATTGCTGTCATGTTGCTGACATGTTGCAGACAACATAACGTACCAATATTGCGGACCGTTTGCTCTTGAAATTGCGTCAACTGATTGTATGTATAAGCAGTCATGTAGCTGTATTTCTAACGTGTTCTATTTCAATGTCAACAAATTTACAGCTAATATATGAAAACACATGCAATGCATTAGTTTGCTCAATATGCTCTATTACGCTTGGCTATCTGGGTAGTGTGAAATATCTGAGCATACACTAATAAATATGTTCACTCTAATAAAATAATTTCCAAATTTAAATATATAAGGTAATAACAGCTGTTCAAATGGTTGTCGAGGAAAAGTATGTGGGACAACAGGATATTCCTGCGCTACAAGCAATTGGATGGGAAGGTTAGTACAGTTTGTATTTTTCTCCATATGTTAGATTTATTAATATTAATATTTGAACTCTATCTAAAAAGAGTATTTATTTATTATTTTTATTTTATCACAATATTTTTATAGGCATCTTCGGATTTATTGGTATTTCTATTGCTATAATCCCTCTCAATTACATTACTGCACCACCACCTTTTGCGGATAATTCACGTGGTACACTTGAAGCCACTGTAGAAGCTCTTACCCAAATAGGAAGCAATAGCAAATTATTGATAGCAGTTATCGGTCAGTCTATCATTTTTCTTTTCAATTTTCTTTGTGATTATCAATTTCCTGATTTTATCACAAACTATCATTTGGAATTGCAGGTATTGCATTTAGTATTGCTTTTTTTAATTTTGCCGGTATTAGCGTTACTAAGGAAATGAGTGCTACAACGAGAATGATTTTAGATAGTGTTCGAACAATTGTGATATGGGTCTTTTCTTTAGGGTTTCAATGGCAAGTTTTTCATTATATGCAGGTATGATTAGAAAGAAAAGTATAATTATTAATAGTATTAATATATATATTAATATTCTACTAATATATATATAATATATAACAAGAAACATCCTAAAATTTTTTATTACAGCTTATTGGTTTTGTAATTCTTTTAATCGGTATGGCATGTTACAATAATATTGTTATTCCGCAATTAATTCGAAAATATCGATGTCATCTGGGACGTCATACATTACCTGAAAATGAAGATCATATTATTAATACTGCTGCAGATGACGTGCAAGAAACAACATAAATATCTATATAATTTTAGTATATTAAGTTGTAATTATTGCTAATGTTAATTGTTTTTTACAGATAATTATTATTATATCAACAAAAAGACTAAGATAAAGACTTTACAAAGTAAGATTTATAGTCTTACGATCTAAAGTAATCGCGCGCGATTTGTTACTTATATCTGTCTTATTATTAAGAAACATATTATTAACAAACATATATAGAATTATTATACATCTGTATTTTCGTCTTTTGTTAAGATGTAAATAAAAATGAGAGAAGTACAGAATTAGATTTATCTTTGATACAAGTAGTAAATATATAATTTTAATTAATTGAAACTAAAGCAATTTAAAATTTAAATGATATACTATACATATGTATATGTCTGCGTGGAAGAAAGCATGTGAGTTCATGCACATACCCAGTAAACAATTTGTCAGCAAATTGTAACCAAATTGACACCAAATACGCGCAAAACTTGTCGACAAATCCGGTGCGATCTGTGTCTGCAATACGCTTGTGTTTTGCTAGCAAAGCTTGTGTACATGACTTGACACCAAATTGAGGCCAAATATCGAGCAAAACAGGGCAGCAAAAGTTCCACGGCAAATTTGCGCCATATTGTGAACAAAGCTTGCCAACAAAAGCTCGACAGCAAATTTGTGCCAAATTGCGAGCAAACCTTTACGAAAGAACTTGACGCCAAATTAACACCAAATACCAAGCAAAGCTTGCCAGCAATCAAATTGCAAATTGTTGACAAATTGCTATCAAAGTTTGTTGACAAAACCCGACGCCAAATTGATATCAAATATCAAACAAGATTTGAGAACAATACTTAACAGCAAATTGGCACCAAATACAGAACAAATCTTGATGACACAGGTTGACGCCAAATTGCAGCAAGCCTTGTTACGTAGCCATTAATAAATACTAAAATATATCTTTTTAGGGAAAATTAAAAGTATTAAATTATAAAAAACATACTTATAATTTTTTATTAATTTACAATTTTATTGATTTATTGATAAATTATTTTATACATATGTTAAAAGAAATCGTTATATTTGTAAAACATTATAAAACATTTATAAAATTTAACGGTGGCAATAAAATAATTAATTATATATTAATTACAGTAAATGTTATACAATGTGAATTTATAAAATACCTTTATGGGAAATTTTTTTCCTCATCGTTCTTTTGGTTCTCGTTGTTCTTATCACTATTCTCGCAATTTTCAGAGTTATCATCGTTGTCATCTGAATGAGCCTCGTTTGCCGGTGTGTCTGTTAATGTTAAATATATCTCTATAATTATCGTTATTCTCGAAATCAAAGTGTTCAGAGTAGAGGAGACCGGGGCTAACTCGACACTATTTTTTTAAAGGCAATTTTTAATATTTAATTAAAATTTTTAGGCAAATTCAATGGTATATATTTAAAGAGTGTTCCTTCAGGTACAAAATTGATTCAGAAAGTTTTGCTGTACGTCGCTTTGTTTTGCCGCTAGGAAAGGAAAAGTGACGCGAAGACAAATTTTCGAATTGAAAAATGCCGGGGTAAACTCGACACCCCGCCGCGCCGGGGCAAACTCAACACTTTGTCTGATCGACACAATTTGATCTGGAACTTATTTCTTGCTGTCTGAAAATAAAAATACATTGTTTATTGTGTACTTAAAAAGTACAAAAATTCGGAATGAAGTAGCTAGCCGACGAAACGGCGTGGTGTTGACTTTGCCCCGGACGTCGTTTTTCACTTTTGTCACTTTAAAAACATAAAAATTTTAAAAATATCCAAAAACGATTATCGGATTCATATAGAGCATCAAATTTCTCATGAAAATCACTTACATATAGGTTTGCAAGAGTAAAGCTCGATGAAAGAGTAGAAATTTTCGAGAGATCAGAAAAATTACTTTTCACCATCAAAAACGCTTATGTTGCGCTAAAAATTACACCATAACTTAGAATGTCATCAAATCCCGTTGATAATACCAGCACATAAAGACGCATTTACAGTAGGAAAAACAAGTTTCTGCGATAGATTTAAATTAGCAAAAAGTCTAGTGTCAAGTTTGCCCCGATGTCGAGTTAGCCCCGGTCTCCCCTACTCAAAATGATCAGAATTATTAGAAAATGCAGAATGGTAAGGAAGTTCGGAATGATGAAAAAGTTAAGAATAATGAGAAAGTTCAGATTCTTTTTGATTATGAAGAAAATCTGGTATTACGGAACTTTGGCTTTTTTAACGGAAACATGTGCTTGCTGAATATGCGATTGATCGAATTCAATTAAAGAATCTGTTGAATTGAGTTTTTCTACAACTTCAACATTCACTTTCTGCTTTTTAACTTTCTTGGAAAGCTTATGAAACGGTGTTTTTTGGCATGTTCTAAAATAAACTGCAAATAAATTTAAATGTTATATTTACATAAAATACATATATTTCAAAATATATACTATTTTTACTCTTTAAAAACATTTATTTTTTCAGATTTTTTACTGCACAATCACTATAACAAATGTGTTAATGGAAAAAAATATTAATTAAATTAAAAAAACTAACAGTACAAAATAAACTATAGGATAGAAGGCTGGCTGATTTTCGAGTTATAAAAAGGTCATCAACTTAAAGAGTGAGAACAAATGTTCATAGGCAAATGGCCCCATTTTTTACGCATTTGATTTTGGTCATAAAGTAGGTACCAAACGAAAGGTCTCGTCAATCTGATTACAGATATGTCAGTCTCAGAGCGTACTTATTTACCGTTCCAGAGATATCGGGCTCCAAAAATTCCAAAACCGGCGAAACCAGTAGCGCAGAGACCATGAAAGCTATCGGTCTCCTCAAAAAGACAATAAAGATTATTCTCTCTGACCCGAGTCCCGAGTCGTATATCCTACCCCGAGATTGACATTACCGAGAACGTTCATAACAGGCATCATCTATTGGTTTTGGAATTTTTGGAGCCCGATATCTCTGGAACGGTAAATAGGTACACTCTGAAACTGACATATCAGTAATCAGATTAACGAGACCTTTCGTTTGGTACCTATTTCATGACCAAAATCAAATGCGAAAAAAATGGGGCCGATCTTGTTTTCACTCTTTAAAAACAAAATTTCGTTTAATTAAACAAATTTTAAATACAATTAACGTTTTACGTTTCAACTTTATATACTTAGTCTTCTTCAGAAACTTGATACATAAGAGATAATACATAAAAAATAATTAATAAATAAAAAAAAATAAAATTGCTATAGATAAAAAAGATAAAGAATAAAGCCGCATACTTTGGACTGACTTGCCAGAAACGTAGCTAAGATTTACACTATGACATAGTATAGACCTTAGCCACAATTAATGTATATACGAGTCGTCAAAAATAAAATAAAATAAGTCAAGTAATAAAATTGTTACTATTATCTATACTGTTGTTATTAATATCAAACAATATTATTTATTATTTGACAGTGTAAAATTGTAATGCATATATTAAAATTACATTAGGGCTAGAATATAAACCAGAGCCACAAGTATGAGAGCAATTCCAAGATGTCAAGACGAGAATTAACCAGATCTTACAGGACGGAATTAAGGAGTCTGGATTACTGATTGAAATCAAAGTAAGAAAAGAAAAGAAAAGAAAAAAGAGGGGGGCCTCTGCATTTGTCTACGAGATCAATTCTAGGGCTAGAATATAAACCAGAGTCACAAGAAGGAGATCAATTCCAAGATCAATGTCGATCTTCCAATATGGCGTCCCAATTGAGAATATCAGAAGAGCCCTGCTCGCTGGACCGGACTCCTTGCCTCAGTCCTCCTTCTCGGACGCAAGCTGCCGCAGCTCTCCTTTTTCTGGCGTGAGCTCTCCTTGGGAAGTCGAATCTCGCTCGGTTGGTCTCCAAAATACGTGCCGCTTAGCTCAATCAGTTACGAAAGAAAGAAAACGTACTCTTCTCGTCCGAAGAAACGCAGCAAGAGCGGCCTTGACACTGAACGAGTACAAGGAAGAAGGTGGGGGCGCTTTGAAAGCGGCGACTAGGGTTCCTATTGGGAATGGCTAAACTGCGATACGCTATCTGGTGGCGAAAACAGAACTAATAAGAGTAGGTCGCCGGCTGCCACATAAATAAATTAACTTAAAAACTATTAGACCGAATTTGTATTAAAACCATATAAAATAGGGGTACAATATTCCGGAGAGTGCTATAAAGTGTATAGTTTTTCGTTATCTCTTTTCTGGAAACCGATTTTTTTAATTTTTTTACTCGTAAAAATTAGAAAAATTAAAAAAATCGGTTTCCAGAAAATTGGTAACAAAAAACTACACACTCTATAACACTTTCTGGAAAATTCTACCCCTATTTTATATACTTTTGATAAAAATTCGGTCCAATAGTTTTTAAGTTAAAAACGGCCAAACATACACCACCCGTAAGAATTTTATATAATAGTATAGAAGAGTAGGTCGCCGGCTGCCACATAAATAAATCGAATTGCGGCATGAAGGCGTCGAATTGGTAAAATTGCATATTTCACTTATGGGCAGTCTCATTTTAATTACTGAAATCTATATATATAAAGAAAAATGTCCTGACTGACTGACTGACTCATCAACGCCCAGCCCAAACCCCTGAATCGAATTTTTATCAAAACTATATGAAATAGGGGTAGAATTTTCCGGAGAGTGCCACTATGTGTATAGTTTTTTGTTACCGATTTTCTGGAAACCGATTTTTTTTATTCTTCCAATTTTTCAATTAAAAGAATTAGAAAAACCGGTTTCCAGAAAATCGGTAACAAAAAACTATACACATAGTGGAACACCCCGGAAAATTTTACCCCTATTTCATATACTTTTGGTAAAAATTCGGTTCAGGGAATAAGCACATACGTCGTATTGTAGAGTGACAAGTGACCTACTCTCTCCGGCCATTTTGCCTTGTGACGTCACGACCGCCAATCCCAATAAGGGAGTTGGGCAGATACCGTTGCCCGATTGTGATTGGCTCCGCCATTTTCCTATTAACTTCTGGTAGTTCCGGCAACACCGGCACAGCCGCACAGCTTGGCAATCTTGGCATAGCTATCATCGATGATCAACGCAATAACGTGATAAGTGCTGTATATTATTCACATACGAAGAAAACTGTTTATATTGAAGGTAAATATTGTGTAATTGTAATAGATAATTAAAGTGAAAGTGATGGAATATAAAATACCCCCCGTATATAAAATACCTTGTGATTAATGTGAAAAATAGAAAATGCTGCATTGTGTAGCTTTTGGATACTACAATTCGCACAAAAAAGGCGCAGTAATGCATATTTTTCCACGAGATTTGCAACGTAAAGAAAAATGGATAGAAAATGCTTGTGGACCTTCAGGATTCAAATACTGTAGAATTCCAAACGAAAATTCATATTTATGTGAGGTACGTTTTCTATTTATGAGGAGTTGATTTATTAGCGATTTATTATTGTCCACAAGCATGAGGATTCTGACGACGTACAACGTAATATATTTCATTTTTAATATACTGTTCCATTTTATAGTTCTATTTCACGGTTGACATGTATAAGAAGGAATGTGTTGATGGCTGGAAAAAATTGAAATTATCTGCTGTTCCAACGGTTTTTGGAGAACTTGTCATTCAACAAAATAAAAAAAAATGTTGCAGGTAAATAATATATCAATAATATTTGTTTTTAATTAATTCGTCACATTCAATAATATTAACACTCATGGCTTATTTTTTTTTTACATCAGTATATCATATACGACAGAAATTTGTAAGTCATATTTGCACAGTTTACGTTGTTTGTTTTGCTAAATATTGGTATTTATATTTTAGCGTTTATACTACATAAGCTACAGAAATCGTAGTAGCTTCTGAATTAACAGCTCAGGGGATGAAGGATATGTTCCCAATATCGAAGCTGTTGCAGAAATTGAGATATCTAATCTAGTTCAGAGAGAGAAAGAATTTCTCTCCGATACTAAACTCACTGGTATTCGATTAGATATTACCATTCCTTCAGGAAGTTCCTCATTCTGGCGAATCAGCAATTTTGATGGCTATTAGGTAATATTTTAAAAATAATTTTACATTTATTGCAGTTTGTCCAATTTTGTTCCGAAAAAAAATTGATAAAAATATTTTTTTTATGTTGCCAGGTATTTACAGAATGTTGCTTACTCACGGTAAGCTATGTATGGGCAAAGAAATATTGGCAACGAAAGTACTACCGTTTCTGTTGCCTCTCTGCATAGAACAAAATCTTAGCATGACACAATACGAGGCACTTTCCATGCTAGTCGATATGATAAATCGAGTAACCAGCGAGCATCGAGAGGCATTACGACAATTGGATTCGGTGCGCCGTGAGACGCAACAACTCGATCAGGCACTTTCTCAAGTGACGTCGCCCACTTTTATGCAAAACAACAGTCTAAGCGACATTAATCTATCGCCTCAAGTTCTATCCCCAAACGCACAGTAAATATTGAAAATGGATTAACCATCGAAGACAAGTACAGGTTTGTCTCAGCTGTTTTCAAAAATTTCATATTTTACTCGACATACTAATTGCTATTTACATTGATTTCTTTCCAGATTAATTCAACAGCAAGAAACGCATCAAAGATTGCAGTCTCAATCTATGTTGACTCCTATAAAGCTGCGCCACAACCTGTAAAGTCACAGCCAAAGGATTTAATAACTGCGACTTTGTTAAAAAACAATCTAGACGAATTAAATCTGTCTATGTCAAGATCGACCATGTCACAACCGGATTACTCGGCTACTAAAAATGCATATAAATATAACTACATTGGTCTAACGCAATCGCAATTTTTAACATCTCCAACGCTAAATTCGCAAACAACATTGAATAGGCCAATGAATTGGAATTCCAATGGAATGAACGCGCCCATGAACTGGAACTCGCCACAATCTACCTTGATGTGGAACTTTATTATTCCCCAGAATAATGTAAATTTTGTACCACAACCAGAAGTTAAACCAAACTTAAACTTTCCTGGAACTTTGCAACCTCTTTTGTCGCCCAGTAATATTCAAACCAATACGAACAAACCTAATTCATCCACGCAAGACATCATGGATTTGCTTAGTTAATAGATTTAATTCTAATACAAAAATATTTGGACAATTTATTTCTAAATAATATTTCAGCAAAAAAGCAGCGTTATGAGTAATCATTTTGCGCAATAAAATTCCTCTCAATTAAATGATGCAATTATTGTACAATATTTGCGTAATTTTCCTATAGGAGTATAAATTGATTTTCATATAACATAATTATACGTATAATTCAGAAAGAAAGTTTCTTGTATTATAAAATAAAATACATATTTATCTCAAGTTTACTATAGAAATTTTTATTTTCCTTCTTCCCTCGTTGTTAAAAGTATAATTTTGGTTTACTAATAACTTTTATTTTTGCTGTTAACTGTAATAAATGTGTTAAATTTATGATGGCTTCAATATTTTTACTGTCATCTTAGGTTAAGTTTATAACTTCATCAATCTTTCATTTATTCTTCTTTCATTTATTTTTATCTTCTATTTTATATATATATTCTTCTATATTAATATACATATTACGTTTGCTACAATAAAGTTATAATAGCCTTTTTATACGTTGCATTATCATTTCATATAGTTGCGATACAGGATTTAAAATTTGCCGCTCTTTATACGCTGAAGAAGGAAAATGGCGACTTCCGCCACATTTGCCTAACTCCCTTATAGGAACCCTAGCGGCGACTCATGCGTCGCGCCATCTGAATGAAACGATCGAGCGTTTGCAAAACGCGAAGGAATTCGAGCGCGTCAATTTGTTCTTATGTTTTGTTACCAAAATTTGCTCAATATTTGGCATCAATTTGGTGTTAGGTTTAGTCCTTTAACAGCAATTTGGTGACAATTTGTTATCAGGTAGTTGCTAAGCTTTGCTTGGTATTTGGCGTCAATTTGTTCTCAAGCTTTGTCACCAAAATTTGCTCAATATTTGGCATTAATTTGGCATTAGATTTTGTCAACTAATTTTAGCGGCAATTTGATGCCAATTTGTTATCAGGTACTACTAAGCTTTGCTCGATATTTGGTATCAATTTGGCGTCAATTGTGTACGCATGTTTTGCTACGTCGTATTTGCTAGCAGTTTGTCGACAACATTTGATAAAACAAATTTTGATGCAAATTTGTACCATTTCTGAAACCAAAATTTGTAGCAAGTATTTGGCATTATTTGTTTGAACAGACTTGGCTATCTGGGTATAGAGCTCTTTTCTTTTGAACCCCGCACTAAATCAGTGGAAAATGGCTCTTGGTCGAATTGGCTGAAGTTATTGGCCTTATATAGCATGTCCGACTAATGATACAAGAAAGGTTTCCTTACATTTCGGAAGAGTATTAAATGTTCATATATGTGCAATATATGTAGATTCTTGATACACACACTCCCACATACCTCCTTCCAAACACACATATACAATACCTATAGGGTGTCCCACTTTAATTTTTACACCGTAATAATTCAAAAACATGGCGTTTTGGTAAAAAGTGTTACAAATAAAAGTTGTAGGGTTTTAAGATGGCCGTTAGGTGAGTCACCTAGATTTTGGGTGCGAGGTTTACTTTAGGCCCAATAAGGCTGAAATCGGTTTTTTAAGTAAAAACTTCCATTTTTTATTGTACTAGACATCCACAGACGCACGCTACGTGCGCGCTATTTATCTTTAATATTTCACTGTTATTATTACACTATTAACCGTGCTATTAACCACACAACTGTCAAAGTATGCCATGACAGCTACTCATGAAGTAAGCGCAGAGAGAGAACCAATCGGCATCGCGGAAAAGCGACAATACTTCGATAGATTCGAGTATCGATAACATACTCTTTTTAGAAGAAGACAAGACACCACAAACGCGCGCTATTTAGCATTAATATATTATGCTATTACTATTACATTACAGTATTAACCCCTTGATAAACACAATTCTGTCAAAATATGCGATAATCCCTTATAGAAATGTATCACTAGTGAGTTAGTGATTAATTACTTATTTTGAGTACTTAAATTACTGATGTACAGTAATTTCTTGTGATTCAATTACTGAGCTTGTAGTGATTACAAGTACTTCAATATTGAAGATTTCAGTGATTAAATACTGCTAATATTTAACATTAGTATTGAAATATTGAGGTATAATACTGCATCAGTGATCAAATATATTAAAGATTTCAGTGATTAAATACTGTTAATATTTAACATTAGTATTGAAATATTGACGTATAATACTGCATCAGTGATCAAATATATTAAAGATTTCAGTGATTAAATACTGCTAATATTTTACATTAGTATTGAAATATTAACGTTTAATACTGCATCAGTAATAAAATATTTATACAAAACACTGATAAGAATTTAATTACTAAGGTAAAGCATTAACATTAGTATTTCAATATCCAATAGTATTTCAATATTCAAAATTGAGTGCTTCAATTATTGTTGAAACTTCCTATGTGTATTTTCCGAAATATTATTTTCTTTTTGAGGCTCAAAGCATAAGTATTGCTTTCAAAAATATTTAAAAAATTTGAGGATTTTCTAGCAATGAAAACTATGACATATGCGATGAAATGGGTTTAAATATAAAGTATATAAACATTATTTTAACTGTGATTTAAGTAAGGAAGAGTAAATAATGTACATGTTTAATGATATTAAGGATAGGTGCATAATCAATGAAGAATAGGTGCATTCAATGAAGAATAATAACACGTGCACTTGTTATACAAAACTTCGTTATTGTCTCTTAATAAAAATTTACATTATCAAAATAGAAAGTAAATATATAAAATACAAAGTAGGTAATACTAAAATATAAAGTAATTTTATTACATATAATGTTGCTTAATATTTCTAGCATTAATTCTTAATATTAACCTATATATTAATCTATACCAAAAAGAGAAATACTTATGACAATAATATATTCGCATACATATCTCTACTAATGATTAAAATGTCTTTTCAAGAAAATAAAAACATAAAAGATAAATCACGGAGTTGAAAAACTGGCTTTTCTATTAACAAACAATTCAATCTGTTTCAAGTGAATTCACCAGAGGAAAACAACAGAATTTTCGTCTATCATATTTGGATGGGGTGTTACAACGCACGTTTTAAATAACATTTCTGGATCAATAGCTACACATGAATCTGTCTGCTCAACTATGCTAAAAATTAAGTTAGATGTAAGACCAGTTTCTATATCTCTGCTTAAAGATTTACCGGTACAATGTAATTTTAATCCTAAAAGAACACTGTTGGAGAAGATGTTTCAACACTCGGTGTGAATCACGCGCAATGTGTGGCGCTATGGTAGACATTTCCGGTTCGACTGAAGCGCAGCGCGTCACCGATAACGAATCTCGAACAGCGCTCTTCAGTTGAAGTCGATCCGCTGTGCGAGAATCACGTACTGTATACCTCTGTGCAAATATATTGAGAAAGATAGATATCGTCATTTTTCTTCACCTCATCCTTGCTCGAGCTACCGAATATTTCGTGAATAAGTTAACAGGTTATGGGCCCAGACACCCTACCTGCGCGTAATAGAGCTCGCAAAGGAAAAGCAGCGTGTGAAAAGTTGCACGAGGGAGCGTGAGCGGTTTCTCCGTGGCGCACGCGGTCGTTGCGAAAGCGGCAATTTTCTCGCAAAGAGTCGTGGCAACGTGGCACGTGGCAGTGTTCTCTGATCCGCACAGAGAAATAAGAACGAAAATGTCGGACGATCTCGCGAGAAATGTGAGGAGACTCGATGGGACGAATTTCCAAAGGTGGAAATTTCACGTTCAGTCTGTGCTGGAGGCAACGGAAGTCTTCGACATAGTGGATGGCACGAGGGTGAAACCGAAAAACGCCGTGGGAGCGAACGCAGCAATAACGAAAGCCTGGAATAAAGTCAATGCGAAAGCAAAGGCTATTATTGCGGCATCTCTGGAGAGCGCTCAGCTAAATTGCGTAATCATGTGCACCACAGCCCGCGAGATGTGGGTGAAGCTGTGTCAAGTCCATGAACAGAAGTCCGAAACCAACAAGCTGATTCTAACGAAACGATTCCACGAGTACAAGATGAGTCCGACAGATTCAGTCGTGCAACACGTGACGAAGGTGCAGAATATGGCGCGGCAACTCAGTGATGTCGGCGAGGCAGTGACCGATCTGACTGTGATGGCGAAAATCCTCGCCAGTCTAACGACTAAGTACAGTACACTCATTACGGCATGGGACAGTGTAGATCCCGCGCGACAGACTGTAGACAATCTGTTAGAGAGGCTGATTCGTGAAGAATCTCGGCTGAACGTAGAGAGTGAAAGTGTTAGTGCGTTAGCAGCTACGAAAAAAAGTACGCAGAAAAAGGGTACCGGAGTAAAGAGTAAAGACAATCAGAAAAAGCGGCGTTCCAAAAAGAACATAGTGTGCTATCGATGCCAAGAAAAAAGGCATTTCGCGAGTGAGTGTCCAACGAAGGAGAAGCCGAACGATGGACAAGGACAGACGAAAAGTTCGTGCGCGTATGTGGCAGCGACGTCCGCGACGGATGGTAAGTCGCGAGCAACGAGTGACAGTCGGTACACAGATCCCACCCGAGACCAGGAGCAGCAGTTGATGCGTGCCGATGTTAGAGACGTATGGTTTCTCGACAGTGGCGCGTCAGCACACATTACCTTTTGAGAGGATTGGTTCGTAGAGTTTCGTCAAACGCGGGGAGACAGTGTCTCGCTAGGTGACAACGGTGTGTGTGAGGTGACAAGGGTCGGAACTATAAGAATCGAGGCTCGTGGATGGCGTCTGGGAGGAAGGGACGATCAACGATGTTCTCCTAGTACCGAATGTGAAAAAGAACTTACTCTCTGTCGGCACGTGCACAGTAAAAGGCTTTGCGGTGAATTTGGAGGACACAAGTGTCAAGATCAAACGCGACGGGTTGATCACGACT